AGGGGTGTGGTGTCCAGGCACCTAGGAGTAGGGGAGCCAGACAGGACAGATGGTGTGGCAGAGGCTGAGAACCAGGGAGACAAGTTTTTCACTAAAATGTGTCTCTGGATTTACAGCAGCCGGCAGCAGTTCTGCCTCCCATCCCTCCTGCTGTACTTTGCTTCCCAGGGTCTCTGTGATGGCCCCGTGCCCCCAACTGGGCCACCACTCAGCAATGTCACCATGATAGGGCCATAAACTGGTGACAAATGAGGGACAAGGGTGGATGAGCACAGGCAGCAGCTCCATCTGCTGCCCACCTGCCCTGCCAGCCAGCCCTAATCCCCCTACCTTCCCTTACGGTCCCCAGGTCAGATGCAGAAGCCATTTGAAGATGCCTCATTTGCGCTACGAACAGGAGAGATGAGCGGCCCGGTGTTCACGGACTCCGGCATCCATATCATTCTGCGCACAGAGTGAGGGGCATGGACATGGACAGCCTGGGCCTGGTTGGTGGGCAAAGGGGCAGGTGGCTGGGCCCAAGGTGTCCCTTGCTGCTGGCCGGCCCGCAGACACCCTTCCTTGCTGTTGTCACACAGTATTTATTGTTCCCAAAATGGCTGGGAGGGGGTTTCTTCCAGTTAGCAGGCTCTGGGGCCCTGCTCCTTGCCTACGCCTTTTGGGGCTGCCCCTGCCAGACTCTCCATTAAGGAACTGACTTCAGAAGGGCAGCAGGGGCGGGGAAGACTCCCAGGCACAGGGGGTGGGGGGGCTGTCCCAAAGAGAAGGCCTGGTCAGTGCCTTCAGGTCCTGGAGGCAAACAGGGGTCCCTAGGTTGTTATTTCTAGTTAAGTCATGTTCCTCTGTTCAGTTCCAGACAGCAAATGCTCTGTGTGTGGCTCGGCTGTGGGCCCTCTCTGAGGGCAGCGCAGTGCCCTTTGCAACCCTAATTAAACCCGGAACCACAGCTCTTCTGTCTTGTGTCTCATTTCTTCTTTAGGGTGGTGTGGGTAGGGAAAGGAGGCAGTGCATGGAGGAAATCATCGCCCACCACCCCAAGTGTCTCAGGGTTTAGGCTGTCCCTCTTCCTCCAGGAAGCCTCCGCTCTTACTGGGCCTGACTCTCCAGGCAGTGGGGCACTGTCTGGCCACAGTGGATCTCGGCTTGAGGTGTGCCACACTGTCCCTGGATACCCTCTGCATGGTGCCTCATGTTCTGTGCACACAGGCTGCTCTCCAATTAGAAGGAAGGACTCCTAGCCCCCTGATGTCTGTCTTCACCCTGCCACAAGTGCTTCTGGAAGGTTGTTCTTGGGTCCAGCCGCCAGACCCAGCACCCTCTGCAGATGCTGTTACCTTGGCAACAGGGCCCTTCTGGTCTGGAGGAAGGGGCTCCTGGCAGGCATCTCTGGGTGCAGGGATCCTGGAGGAGGGGAAGACAGTGTCCAGTGGCGTTTAGAGAACAGATCAGAGCGGATCCCTGGGGTGGGTGGCAGGCAGGTGGTCAGCTCTTCCTCTGCCTTTGGTGAAGGGTCTGTGGGTGTGGTTCACATGTCCCCATTGCCCATGCCAGGACCCTTCCGGGGCTCAGTCAGGTCAGTGGGTGTGGGTCTCTTAGAGGGCCCACACCAATCCTCTACACTTGATGGGGACCAGCCCAGCTTGCAGGGGGTGCCAGCAGGGATGGGGACCCTGAGCAAAATAAAGCCCTCCTCC